CCCCCCCCCATCTCTTTCTCTGTGTGTGTGTGTGTGTGTGTTTTCAGTGTTCCCTCAGGGTCAGTTCTTTTTATTTTATTTTATTGATTTCAGAGAGGGAGAGAGAAATAGAAACATTAATGATGAGAGAGAATCATTGATTGGCTGCCTCCAACACACCCCACACAGGGAGACAAGCCCACAACCCAGGCATGTGCTCTGGCTGGGAATAGAACCGTTACCTCCTGATTCATAGGTCAACACTCAACCCCTGAGCATGCCAGCCAGGCTCAGGGTCAGTTCTTTCAGGGGAACTCTGACTTCTGCTGAGTCCAGAAATGGTTCTGTCCCCTTTTGCAATCTTAATGAACCCACAAGAGAGAAAAACTGTTGCTCCCTTCCTCCCTAAGCCTCAGCTCTTCCAGATCTTCTCAAACTGTGGTCCCTAGACAGACCCAATGGCAACTTCAGGATCCCTGGAAATTCACTAGAAATGCAAATACCTCTGATTTACTGAATCATAAACTCTTAAGGGTGGCCCTCAGCATTTGGGTTGTTTTTTATAATTATTATATTTTTTGTATTGATACATCCCAGAGAACAGATATTATATAAATTAATATGTGATCACCCCAATAAATCCTGCATCCATCCAGCACCTAGATTATTGACTATATTCTCTATCCCGCACTTTACATCCCCATCACTATTCTGTAACAACCAATTTGTAATTTTTAATCCCTTCACCTTTTCTGCCCACCCTTCCTAATGGGCAACCATCAAAATGTTCTCTGTACCTATGAGTCTGTTTCTGTTCTGCTTTTTCATTTTATTTGTAGATTCAGTTGTTGATAGATATGTATTTATTGCCATTTTATTGATAATATATTTTATCTTCTTTTCTTCTTAAGAATACTCTTTAACATTTCATATAATACTGGTTTGGTGGTGGTGAACTCCTTTAGTTTTTTATTTTCTGGGAAGGTCTTTATATGTTCATTGATTCTAAATGATAGCTTTGCTGGGTAGAGTAATCTTGGTTGTAGGTCCTTGCTTTTCATCACTTTGGATATTTCTTGTCACTCCCTTCTAGCCTGCATAGTGTCTGTTGAGAAATCAGCTGACAGTCTTATGTGAGCTTCCTTCTAGGTTACTAATTGCTTTTCTCTTGCTGTTTTTAAGATTCTCTATTTGTCTTTAGCCTTGACATTTAATTATGACGTGTCTTGATGTGGGCCTGTTTGGATTCATCTTGTTTAGAACTCTCTGGACTTATAGGTCTGTTTCCTTCAGCAAGTTAGGAAACTTTTGTGTCATTGTTTTTTCAAACAAGTTTTCAATTTCTTGCTCTCGCTCTCTCTCTCTTCTCCTTCCAGTACCCGCAAGATGCGAATGTTGGTACACTTGCCCCAGAGGCTCCTTATACTATCCTCATTTTTTAAAATTCTTTTTTCTTTTTGCTGTTCTATTGGGTATTGTTGTTTTGTTCTGTTTTATGTGTTGTTGTGTTTTTGCTTCCTTATATTCCAAATCACTGGTTTGATTCACAGCTTCATCTATTCTGCTGTTAAATCCCTGTAAATTATTCTTTATTTGTTAGTGTAGCCTTCATTTCATTTCTGGTTAATTTTTATGCTTAGTTTTTATCCTCCCTAAGTTCCTTGAGCATCCTTACAACCAGTGTTTTGAACTCTGCATTTAGTAGATTGCTTGTCTCCATTTTGTTTAAAGGTGTGTGTTTTTTTGGAGTTTTGTTCTGTTCTTTCGTTTAGGATATGTTTCTTTGTCTCCTCCATTTAGTCACCTCCCTGTGTTTGTATTTATGTTTAGGTACAGCTGCTATGTCTCCTAGGCTTTGTAGCATGGCCTAATGTAATGGGTGTCCTGCAGTGTCCAGTGGCACAGCCTCCCCGATCACCCTAGCTGGACACTGGAAGGAATTCGGCCCCCTCTCCCCTTGTAAGATGTACACTTTCCTATTGTATTTGAGTTTTGATTAGGAGGAATTTACCCAGGCTGATCAGCTAAAAGGACTGGCTGTGAGCACTGACCACCAACCTCCAACCACCTTGGAGGATCAGCTATGCAGGGACCCACTGTACAGAGCAGGACTTACTTCAGCAGGGATCTGGTACCCAATGAGTCGAACCCTTGAGTGTGTTGCTTGTGGAGGTGGTTGGGTGGTGGTCCTTCTATGTGCTCTGAAGCTGTCCACTGGGTGTGCTGACTCTGGAGCTTCCCAAGAGGTGCAGGCCAAGGTCAGCCACAATTTTTGTTCTGCCTGGAGCCACCACACATAAGCTATATAAAGCAATATGCTAATGAATGCTTCTTGTGCTGGGCTTGGAGTTGCCTGGGAAAGGCCAAGCTGTGAACTGTGGGCTGCTGCTAGTGCTGGGCCTGGGGACACTTAGCTAGAAGTACAGGATTCACTGAGGCCAGATGCTGCTTGTTTGAGAGATCTTAGGAAAGTATGAGGAGTGAATGGAGGTAACAAAGGTGTGATAATAAATATAAGGATTTCCAAAAAGCTTAGCAAAAAGGAAAGAGCTCATATTGGTAAGCAGAGGGAATGGGAAAATGAAAGCATTCTTTCTAAGTAGGTGGAAGAGAGTGAGGAGAATAAGCCATTAAAGAGGGAAAAGTTGGGAAATTAAAAGCAATTTGAAGAGGATAAAATTAGGCCTTCAAAGAAGAGGAAAGGGATGACATTCAGATCCCAGGCGAGGGTCTGGGATGCCCCAGCCACACACCCTCAAGCAGGCTTACCTGCTAGCCTGCGCCATCCCTAGGGAGGGGCCTGTCCAGCAGGTTTCCATGTAACCACTTCGCCTGGTAGGCCTGCAGCCAGAGATGAGAGGCACCAAAGTGTTTTCCAGCCTGGGTTCTCTGGAGCTGCCAGCAGGGATGTTCCACACACAAAGGGTCCAGGCATGTCAGGAAGGTGCTGCCCTAAGCCCTGTGAGCAGTTGGCAGGCAGACTGAACGTTCTCTGCCAGCAGAGATGGGCATTTGGAAGTGGGCATCAAAGGGATGAAAGAACCTGCTGGGGGAGACACAAACCTCACCCCTCAGATACTCAAGATCCACAGAGAAAACACCTGTGGGGAAAGGCGGTGATTGCTGCCTGTGTAGGAAAAGGAGCTGTCCTTCGGGAGCACCTGTACTCTGCTTGGAGTTCTGTATCTGACTCTCCTGGGCAGTGTTTTATCCCAGTGGGACAGAGGAATTCGCTGGGACTTGCCTGATGCCCACCTGTCAGCACATGATGGGCTCCAGCTCTCTCTGATTTGGGATCTGCTCTCCTGCCCCTGTAGCCCACACAGTCCTTTCCTCCCCAAACAGCACCTAGGGCCTGGGCCAAAGGCAAGCACACACCCTGTGCCTGCGACCAGGACAGCCATGCCAGCCTGCCAGGTGGTCTGCGATAGGGAAGGTCCTCCAGGTGTCTTCCTTAGCCTTCTCTCTGGCAGGGCCCTGGTTCCAGACTTCAGGTGATTTGGTGCATAGAGACTCAGCCTGGCAGAGGCGGCCAGGGAGGGAGGGGCCAGCAGGAGTGTGCAGTGCCGCTGCTTTTTTGTACGGAGATTTGTTCTGTTCTGTTCTCTGTTCCCAGGACCCTCTCCAGAGGTGTGAGAATGATAACAAAAGGCAGCAGTTCTTTATACCTTGATGGTCTAGACTTGCGGCTTGCCACAGCAGGCACACTGGTGTGCCGCAAGAATTTTTATAACGTGCAATACCTGACTATTAATCAGGGTCACTGACTTCTTTTCCTTTAGATTGTCAAATTTAAAAAAAACGACAACTGTCAACACAACAATAGCCAAACCATGTGAATGAATCAAAATTATACCGTCAGATTGGCAAAAAATATATATTTTTTGGTGTGCTGCAAAATTTTAGTAGTTTATGTGTCATGAGATGAAAAATAAGAGACTGATGAAAGCAAGAGATGAACTCTCCAGAAAAGGACACACACACACACACAAACAACCTTGCAGTTTCTAGGTCCATTCACCCACCACCACCACCACCAACAGGCAGGTGTCAAAGGGTAACCGGACAAACAAGGGGTCCTGCTGCCTGTCAGTGGAGCAGAGACAGGGCTGAATCATACATGAGCGTTTATCCCACTGCTGCCGCAGTGGGGGGCAGGGGCAGCCACAGACATCTGCTCTGCAGCCAGCTGCTCATTTAGCAAAGGGCTGTGCACAGACAGGCAGAAGGACTAGGGGTCTTCAAAGGGCTGAGTGATGTGCAAGGGCTGGGGTTCCAGGGAAGAGCCAGGGGGCAGTTCACAGGTGAGAGGCTGGCGGTCTGCAAGGCCTGCGGGGACGCAGCAGGGCTGGGAGTCTGGTTTCCGCAGCACAGCTGTCCGTGTTTCCGGAGAGCAGGCAGCTCCGGGGCAGCTCCAGCCGGGGCGGAATGGGCCTCCTTTATCAGAACAAAACAGTCACGGGCAACAGAGCATGGTGCCTGTTTCTCACATTCTGGCTGGTTCCCCAGCCTTCTGTTTCTGCCCGCTTTCAAAAAGAGTGTGCATCAAAATCAGCCCGAAGCCTGGCTGGGAGACCGCTCTGCGTTCCAACTTTCCCCTGCGGCAGGGCACCCGCACCGGCTCCCGGGGCCTCCCCAGGGCGCACCGTGGAGGAAAAACCTGGGAAATCCGGTGGGACCGAGAGCCATGGCTCCCGGGGCCTGCCCGGCCCGCAGCCTCCCCGCCACGGCGCCCCGGGAGGCGCGGCGCGGTGCCCGCAAAGGGCCGGGTGCCCGGGCCGACGCCGCGGGGACAGCCGCCCGCCCCCAGCCGTTGCCCGGGAGGGGAAGCAGAGGGAGCGAGGGAGGAGGCGGGGAGGGAGCGGAGAGGAGGGAGGGCGGCGCGGCGGCGCGGAGCCGGCGCGGGCGCGGGGCGGGAGCGGAGCCGCGCCCGGGGCGGCCGGGGCGGGGGCGGCGGGCGCCGGGGAGCGCGCCCGGGAGCGCGGAGGGCGGAGCGAGGGCAGCGCGGGCCGCCGCCGCCCCCGCCCCGCCCCGCCCGCGCGCAACAGTTTCCCCAAAGTTGCAGCCCGGGAGGCGGGCCGCCGGCGCGGACGCGGCGGGATGGGCACCCGGCAGACCAAGGGCGGCCTGGCGGAGAGAGCCCCCGGCGCGCCGCCCGCCGCTCGCCGCGAGCGGCCCGACTTCTGGGCGTCGCTGCTGCCGCGCGCCGGGGACAAGGCGGGGCGCGCGGGCGCGGGCGCGGGGCTGCCCCCCTACCACCGGCGCGTGGGCATGGTCCAGGAGCTGCTGCGGATGGTGCGCCAGGGCCGGCGGGACGAGGCCGGGTCGCTGCTGCAGCACCTGCGCCAGGTGAGCGCGCGGGGCCGGGGGGCGCAGCTGCGGGAGCGCCCCGCCCCTCCCGGGAGGCCGGGCAGCGTCCAGGGGCACCGCCCTGGGCCCCCGACCGCGGGTACGGAGCCCGGGGTGGCAGCAGGTGAGCGCCGGCTCCCGCGGAATTTGAGGCCTCCGGACCGGGCGGAGGAAGGATGGCCGGGCGAGGCTGGGTTGCGGGGGGACCTGTTGAAATAATGTCCGCGCTTCTCTCCTCCCCTGGCTGGGAGGCTGGTCCCCGGGAAGGCTGGTGGGAAGGGGTTCGGGGAGGGTGGCCTGGGTTGGCCAAAGGCGCTTTTCTTCCTCTTTACCCAAGGGCAGTCCCCCCTGCCAAGGGTCCTCAAGGAATGCGTAACTGCCAGCTCCTCTGGGGAATCCAAGGGCGCAGCCGCGGGGCTGGTGAGATGCCAGTGTGTGTGGCTGCCCACCTGGAGGCATGCTGTATTGCGCCTCAGGTGGGAGACGGTGTTTACCTCCCGCTGAATAACTTGGGCAGGTGCTCAGCAGGCAGCGCCCGCTGAGCCGTGGAGGGGAGAGGGGGTTGGATTGGTTTCCTGGAAGCTGCCAGCGCTCTGCCCTCTGCCTGTCCCTGTGCCCCTGGTTAGCGACTGACTGCCAGTCTGGCGTCCCCTCCACTTAAGGGCTGTCCTGAGGGCATTCCTTTCCCACCCCCCCTCAACCACCCTCCTCTCTTCCACTCCTTTTCCTTCCTTACTTTTGAGAGCCGGCTGGCCTGGTCCATGGATTTTGTTGAGTGGGAGAGAGGCAGGAGGGTGTCTTCACTCAGCTTTGGGGGCGAGTTTGGACTTCATATTCTTGCTAGATTGACCCTCCTAGTGGTGGTGTCCATGCCGATGGGACAGGGAGGTCTCGGGTGGCCTTTCTGAAGTTTCCCCATCGCCGATGAAATATACAATAGTAATAATTATGTATGGGCACCTTCCTAGGAGGAGTTTCTACAACCGACTCAGAAGTGCATCCCTGCTGATTTTGTGGCGACCCCTCCCCCCTTATACCTGACACACTGGAACCCCCGGAGTGTGTGTTCCCAAGGTGTGCACAGCGCTGGGAGAGAGAAGCAGAGACCTAGGGGCTAGGGAGGGATGAGGTCCGCTCTTGGCCTCACTCTTCCAAACAGAATGAGGCCTGAGATGCCCCAGGATGCTCAAGAGCCTTCTCTGAATTGATTCATCGAAGAAAGATGACATTACCCATCACTAACCTCAGCTCGTGTATTTATTGGTCTCAACAATTGAAAACCAGTGCAAGGCCTTTGTGGAAACTCTTGCTTTCCAACAGAATAATGGATTTTCCAGACCATCACATCCCATTTGCACACCAGATAGCAAGAAGACTACTGATCCCATGCTGTCCCCAGCACTGCGGTGCCTGCTTCTGGGAAGCAGGAGAGTGGAGGGGCTGACGGGAAGGGTGCACACAGCTCTTCTTGGAGGGGAAAGAACAGAGTGAAGTCAGCATTCTTGAGGGCCTGTCACGGGTCAGGCACCTGGGGTCCCTCTGAGGCTGAGTAGGACCCCACATCCTGAAGCAGACCTTCTCCCTGGCTTTCGGAGGACAGAAGTCCCTGTGGCCCCACAGGGTCCTTGAGACAGGGAGTATTTTTTGAGAAATGTTGGTCTTGTCGGTGTCCTGACCCGCTTCTGAGTGGCGGGCCTAGGAGAGCTGATGGGGGCAGGATGGGGCTAATCAGACTCCCCTTTTTTGTGAGGACAGTGGAAGGACTTGCCCGCAGCTCTTGGCAGGTCGACCCCCTTAACCTTAGCTGTGGGTAGGGTCGGTGGGCCTCTGCAAGCCAGCAATGGGTGTGCCTGGGGGGGCCGGAGAGCTGCCCTGTTGCCTGGAGGGTACAGGTGAGGCACCCAGGCGGTGGTGGGAGGGGAGCACCAGGGTCCATATGTCTGTCAGGATCAGGGAGGCAGTTTTTCCAGGACCCTGAGGCTAAAGGAATGTTGAGCTGGGTCTGTGCTGTGTGCCAAAGTAGCCCTTTCTCCCAAATTGTGTTTCTCATTCTGGTCTCCTTCTCCAACCTGGAGTGGTGATGTTCAAAAAGGGGGTGAACAGTCACTGAGGCAGAAACACCAGGGCCTCTGGGGGCAGACAGCAGAGCTCAGGGTGCTCAGTCCCACGTGATGTTGTTGAAGCATCACACACACACACACCCAAGCTGTGTGACTTGTTACAGGCTCAATATATGGAAACAGACTGAGGGACCACGTGTGGCATTTCATGGTGGCTGCAGATGCTGCTGCTTCTGAGTGCCCCTCATTCGACTCTAAGATTGGGGTGAGGTTCCCTGATTGGAGACTGCACTGTCCGTGCTTGTCACTCGCTGAGAGATAGAAGGAGATCTTACTTAACGTTAACAGTGCTGAGCTGCGGCCAGTGGTGCATCCCTTTAGGAGCAGTGTGGTCATGGGAAGAGCCTCGGCTGAGAGTCCGTGCAGGCCTTCTGGTCCTCAGTCTGCTTTGGCCTTGGACCCCACAGATAACCCAAGTTGTGTTTCCTCATTTCCCAAAGGGTATCTGGGGTACTGAGCAGAGCAAACGCTGCAAAGGGCTTTGCAAATCAAGACAGGCTTTTCCAGCGAAGATGATAAGGAACAGAAGAATCTGCCCTAATTTGGGTCTGGCCAGGCCATGGGCAATGTCCCCTGTCTCAGGCCAGGCTCGAGGACCTTTGGGATTCCGTCTGCCTGGCCAGGGCTCCGGCTGGATCCGCAGCTCACGCAGATTCAGAAGCTGTCTGGAGCAGGTGCGCATGGGGATAAAAGAAGCCAACCATGGGAACAAGAGGCCATTACCGCCCCCCCCCCCCTTCCCCGGAACCCGTCCGCAGGCCTCACCCTGCCCCATGTGCCCTGCCCTGAGTCTGGGGATCAGAATTGCCATCTCTAAGGAGCGCTGGAGAAGAAGTAACATTTAGTCATGAAGTGGGGGTGAGTGCCAGGCTATGTGCAAGGTGGGGTGTCATCTAGTCAGCCCACCAGTTCCTGAGTCCCCAGTTTTCCAGACTGGGGTGTTAGCTAGCTTCATATAGCACCAGCACAAGGGGGTCCCAGGATACAGGCTGAAGTGACTCACTTCCGCCTGTTCACCAGCCTCCCTGCTTCCTTGTATAGAGGGTGTGATTGTGTTGTTTCACTGCCTCTCAGTATGGCTCTGCCCAATGGTGTGCTTGGACAAGGACTCAGTCCACTGTGGCCAGGGTGGCAGAAATGCCTTCACTGTACAGGTAGGAGCATGAACCACATCAGCTAATGCAAAACAAGAACGCCCACCCAGGACCGAGGGTAACTTGCTTCCCCAGGGCAGCTACATAATGGTCAGGCACTTGGAGGCTCCCTGGCATCGGGAAGTGGGGTAGGTCTTTCCTACTCAGAGGCAGATTAGTGGAATGGCCTCGAAAGTCACCTTTTCCCTCTGACATCCACCTATGAAAATCTCTGTAGGTGAATAGACTGCAAGGTCACCAGACACCAGCAGGGAGGCCTCCACCCTGGACTGTGATCTTAGCCTTCTTCACCTGGAATGCATTTCCAGATTTCTGCTGAATGTTCCTTACCTTTCCCAGGCTATCTTCCTGGACAGTGTCAGCCTGTGGTTCTGAGATGCAAAGGTAATTTAGGTCCTACTGTTGTGGGGTTGAACCCCACACTGGGTGGTTGTGGGAACCCCTTTCATGTCCCGCGTGGTTCAGGGTTCGGGTTCTGGAGAAGGCCACACGCAAATGAAAAGAGACTAGAAAAAATTTAATTTGGGGAATTGGGGGCCAGGCAGGAGCCCACCTCTAGGGAGAGGACTACCACTAGGCTCTGGCTTTGCTATCCCTTTTATTGAGACTATGGGATACACCCATAGCCCTTAGGCAGGTAATAGGCAAATTATCACATCAGTAAGGATTTACATGATTATTTGATGGGGAAGTTGCCTCAGATACCATTGTCTCAATTAGATAGGGAGTGGTTGGCTTTGACCTTTCAGAGCTTCAAGATTGACCAGCTTTCCACATCTTTCTATCAGTGAGACTGTGATCGGTTTCGGGTAGGTGGTATTTCATCACCATGCACAGATTCCCCTTGCACCCATTTTGTTTGTCATCTGATGTTTCCTGAGAGGAGACACTGCCACCACCTTCGGCCCTGGCATGGTACTGACCACCACAGGCCTGTAACATTCTTTTCTTAAAAAAATCTTTATTATTGAAAGTATTACAGATGTCCCTCTTTTTCCCCCCATTGCTCCCCTCCATGCAGTTCCCGCCCTGCCCCAGGCCTTCATAGCTACTGTCTATGTCTATAGGTAATGCATATCTATTTATATGTATATATAAAAGGCTAATATGCTAAGTGTCCGACCATCCAGGTAACGACGTCACGTAGCAGCAGCCAGATTCCTCTCCCTAGCGACTAGCCTCCTTGCAGTTTCTTCAGCCCAGGAATACGACCTGCTTTATATCCACGTGCAAACATTTCACACTTTAGCCAAATGTCTGTGAAGCCTTTTCCTGTGCCTCATCTCATTTGATCTTCACAGAAGTCCTGGAGTAGGTAGATAGGAGACTTGGTGGAATCTTATTTTCTTTTCATTAGCCGGAAATTAGAGATTTAGGAAGCTTAGAAACTTGAACCGACTGAAGAGAAATAAGGAATGGTGGACCTTGAAAATGACTTCAGCTTTTCTCACTGTGCAGAATATAGTCAAACACTGCTGCAATTACATATTTTACCTTTGTTCTCCCTGCATGATCTACAATAATAATCTGCTTCGTGTTGATATTTACTGCTGTGTTGATGACAATTACCTGAAAGAGAAGTTGGGGTGCTAGACCGGCAGGAAATAGTTTAGCTAAATCAGAAGCTAGTCTAATTAAGCAAGTTTATTCTATATCTGTAACAGGCTAAGTTGACTCATGCAGGTCGATACATATAAAGCTCTTGTTGGTACCAATTGCACACGTG